TCCCATCTATTGGGTGATATATTGTACATACATGCGCACATAAATACATATAAACATGACATACATATACATAACACTACACACATACACACAAACCGACATACCAAGTTATGAGTTTAAATGGAGCAGTGCTGGTTAGGCGGCGCTCCTGGTTCGTGATCGCACTATATGCGATCACGGAGATTAGGCGAGTAGAGGAGAAGGCGACCGCTTAGTGGGCGAAGCATCGTCAGCATCGAAGTCGGTACGGATGTCTTATTGATACGTATCCCTTTCATTGCGAACTAATGGCTCAATCACATAATCGCATATACGATCGTGAACTATTGTATGAACGATGCCTTTCTGTGTACATTCACAGCTATTACACGGAATGGGAAGGTCTAACTAGTGGAGCACCTGTGAAAAACGCCCCGCATAAGAAGATAACCTCAGCGGCGGGCGGAAACTAGGGAGGACCATATGGAGAGCAAGAATAACCCTGTGCTTGTCACAGAGCACCAGTCCTGACAAACAAATCTATATAATGATGTCTGTCCGGAGATCTTGCTGTGAACACAAGACTGTAACATCAGCAATCGGCAGATTTACTGTAACCCCTTGGAGTCAAATAGATGAGATCAAGCAGATGGAATGCACACCACACCGCAATTTACGCCAAAATCGCGGTCGAGCCGACCTCAGGATTTCGGTGTTGAAATCCCCATTCCGGCTTATCGCTCGATTCTGACCCACCATCCCACCAAAAAAGCAGAGTGCCAAAGAAGCATATCGGATTTTCTAACACATTCACGACGACGCCCCTTTTCCACTTTTCGGTCGCGTGGGACGGACGCGATTTTGTGGGCGCCGCCGCCTCACCACATAACCGCAGATTTTGTTTTGTAAATGAACAAAAACATGAATTCCACAAAATGATTTCATCAATGTTCAATGTGCGTTCAATGTTGTACGAGTGTTGAATGTTCAACGTAAATGTGTTAACTTCTGCTTCTTTTCAGCGTTTGAGACTTTTCAAGGTCACTTTCACTCTACGTTGACGCATAGTCTGTTTTTCGCCCATTCCAAGAGTCCACATTCTGAGCTACGAGTAGATTCAGATACGACGTCGGCGGCACAGCGTATCATCAGTGGATCCACTCCGAACGATCAGTGGAACTTTGACATCAAGGAGGATAAACGGTCACAAAGCCATAGCTAGATTGGCACAGTTTACACTAGGCAAATTCAGTGATCTCCTGTTTTGGACTCTCTCGTTTCTTGTGTGTTAGGTCCTCGAAACTTCTTGAATATTCATGTCTTCATTACTGGATGAGCTTACGGATTCCGCTGTTCATGTTGCTTGTCACTAGAGAACCATAGAGTCGTATTCTACTTTGTATCATCAGTTTGTTGTTAGTCTTACAGATACAATTTGCAGTGTTCACTTGTACGACACTCGGCGCAACGCCCTCGTCCAGGATTTCATTGACGTAAATTTGTTCGGATCGGTTCACTTTCACCTGAAGACGTATACCGACGTACGATGACCACTACAATGATTGCTCTCAAGATATACCGTAGTTGATCTACGGGATATCTTGAG